AATGATTTTTTTAATCTTTTTATCCCATTAAAAATGTTGATTAAAACAAGATTTTTATGAAAAATTCGCAGAAAAAAAAAAAAAATGCTGTAAATTTTTAAATGACATCAAAATTAAATGTTTAATTAAGACATAATATTCTAGTGAACGATAGCAAATTTATTAAGCTTCACTTTCATAAAAAAATGATTTAAAATTGGTGCACTAGTTCCAAAGATATTGACATTTTAGTAATCGTACTTTTGTCCGAAATTCAAAAAATCAAATTTTTTGTATATCTCGAAAATGGCTCTACTTTAATTTTTTCTGACCACGGCATTGAATTCAGCGTAGGATTTTGCATTAGAAACGTTGGTCAACCACTAAAGTTCACACTTTTTATGTTGTTTTGTAAACTAGTGTAATTCCTTGTGGAGCGACCGCGCCAATGTTGAAGGCATCAGAAAGATAATTTTGGATGACCTTCACGGATAATATTGGAAGACCCTATCGTTGTAATTGGCACGCAAGATCATTAGCCATTAATTATTTGTTAGAATATTTGTTACTCGAGTCAGTTGATCAGCAGTAGACCGACCTTTTTTTAAAACCAAATTGCTCGTCGAGTAAGATTTTGACAAACCTTGAAGTTACAGGCCTTAGAGCTTCTGCTCCTACTGTTGATATCCATTCGCTTTCGTATGTAGCTTGTTGAAACAATTATATGATAAGTATTAAAAGTAACAAAGTTGTCTTGATTACATATCCTAGCAACAGCGAGATTGTCCAATGTACAAACTCATCTACTTTTTTTTTCAGTTGCAGTACATAAACTGTAGAAAAACATATGGGCAAACGTGTACGCGGAGACTTGAAGTATGTCTTCAAGTTTATAGACATACTTCAAGTCTCCGCGTACATCGTACGGGTTAGGCAAAAGATGTGCGTCTATCTTCAAAAACTGTCGCATTAATGGCCCTTCGCTCATTTTTAACTACTATTCAATTTTCATACTGCCGTATTCTAACGGAACTATCCACCTACACTCTTCTAAAAATCATTCTCTAGCTAATAAATTATCACACTAAAGCTTCATGTTAGCATTTCCAACCAACTCGTTCAGAGGTAATCATACCATATACCAGAGTTGCGGCAACACACGCGAGCTGGGCACAGCTTTCATCGTGATGGGCGAAATGCAGAAGCGCGTGATCGGTTGGTGGCCGATCGACGAAAGAATGTGCAGGTTGAGGATCAAGGGCCGATTCTTCAACTTTAGCATAATCAACGTGCACAGCCCTCACTCCGGAAGCACTGATGATGACAAGGGCGCATTTTACGCGCAGCTCGACCGCGAGTACGATCGCTGCCCAAGCCACGACGTCAAGATCATCATAGGAGACCTAAACGCTCAGGTAGGCCTGGAGGAGGAATTCAGACCGACGATTGGAAAGTTCAGCGCCCACCAGCTGACGAACGGGAACGGCCTACGACTCATCGATTTCGCCGCCTCCAAGAACATGGCCATACGTAGCACCTTCTTCCAACACAGCCTCCCCTATCGTTACACCTGGAGATCACCACAGCAGACGGAATCGCAAATCGACCACGTTCTGATTGATGGACGGCACTTCTCCGACATTATCGACGTCAGGACCTATCGTGGCGCTAACATCGACTCTGACCACTACCTGGTGATGGTCAAACTGCGCCCAAAACTTTCCGTCATCAACAATGTACGGTACGGACGCCCGCCACGGTACAACCTAGAGCGACTGAAGCAACCGGATGTCGCCTTAGCATACGCGCAGAATCTTGAGGCAGCGTTGCCAGAGGAGGGCGAGCTTGATGTGCCCCCTCTAGACGACTGCTGGAGTACAGTAAAAGCAGTCATCACCGTCAAGCGTCAGCCGAGAGCACCATCGGGTACGTGGAAAGAAGTCGACGGAATGAATGGTTCGGCGAGGAGTGCATAGCGATTTTGGAGGAGAAGAACGCAGCGCGGCCGGTAATGTTGCAGCATGGAACCCGACAGAACGTGGAACGGTATAAACAGAAGCGAAAACAGCAGACCCGCATCTTTCGGGAGAAAAAAACGCCGCCTGGAAGAAGCGGAGTGCGAGGAAATGGAACTGCTGTGCCGTTCCCAAGAAACACGGAAGTTCTACCAGAAGCTCAACGCATCCCGCAACGGCTTCGTGCCGCGAGCCGAAATGTGCAAGGATAAGGACGGAAGCCTCTTGACGGACGGACGTGAGGTGATTGAAAAGTGAAAGCAGCACTTCGATGCGCACCTGAATGGCGAGGAGAACGTAGGCAAGGGAGACCAGCGCAATGGAGGAAACGACTACGTCAGTGCAGCAGAGAACGGAACTGACCCAACTCCCACGCTGAGGGAAGTTAAGGACTCCATTCAGCAGCTCAAAAACAACAAAGCAGCTGGTTAGGATGGTATCGCAGCCGAACTCATCAAGATGGGCCCAGAAAAGTTGGCCACCTGCCTGCACCGGATGATAGTCAGGATCTGGGAAACAGAACAGCTACCGGAGGAGTGGAAGGAGGGGGTAATCTGCTCCATTCACTAGAAAGACGACCATTTGGAATGTGAGAACTTCAGAGCGATCACCATTTTGAATGCCGCCTACAAAGTGCTATCCCAGATCATCTTCCGTCGTCTATCACCTAAAATGACCGAGTTCGTGGGAAGTTATCAAGCCGATCGGCCGAACGACAACGGACCAGATCTTCACCGTACGGCAAATCCTCCAGAAATGCCGTGAAAACCAGGTCCCAACGCATCATTTGTTCATCGACTTTAAGGCGGCATACGACAGTATCGACTGCACAGAGCTATGGAAAATCATGGACGAGAACGGCTTTCCTGGGAAGCTGATCAGAATGACCAAAGCAACGATGGACGGTGTGCAAAACTGCGTAAGGGTTTCGGGTGAACTATCCAGTTCATTCGAATCTCGCCGGGGACTGCGACAAGGTGACGGACTCTCATGCCTACTCTTCAACATTGCTCTAGAAGGTGTAATGCGACGAGCCGGGCTAAACAGCCGGGGTACGTTTTTCACGAAATCCGGTCAATTTGTGTGCTTTGCGGACGACATGGACATTATCGCAAGAACGTTTGGAACGGTACCGGAACTATACACCCACCTGAAACACGAAGCAGCAAAGGTCGGGCTGGTGATGAGTGCGTCAAAAACAAAGTACATGCTAGTAGGCGGAACCGAACATGGCAGGATTCGTCTAGGAAGTAATGTCACGATAGACGGGGATACTTTCGAGGTAGTGGAGGAATTCGTTTACCTTGGATCCTTAATGACGGATGACAACAATGTGAGTCGTGAAATACGAAGGCGCATCATCAGTGGAAGTCGTGCCTACTACGGGCTCCAGAAGAAACTACGGTCAAAAAAGATTCACCCCCGCACCAAATGTACCATGTACAGAACGCTAATAAGACAGGTGGTCCTCTATGGACACGAGACATGGACTATGCTCGAGGAGGACCTGCAAGCACTCGGAGTTTTCGAGCGACGTGTGCTAAGGACTATCTTCGGCGGTGTGCAGGAGAACGCTGAGTGGCGGCGAAGAATGAACCACGAGCTCGCTGCACTCTATGGCGAACCCAGCATCCAGAAGGTGGCCAAAGCCGGAAGGATGCGGTGGACAGGGCATGTTGCAAGAATGCCGGACAACAACCCTGCAAAGTTGGTGTTCGCTACAGATCCGGTTGGCACAAGAAGGCGTGGAGCGCAGAAAGCACGATGGGCGGACCAGGTAGAGCGTGATCTAGCGAGCATTGGGCATGACCGAGGATGGAGAGCGACAGCCGCAAACCGAGTATTGTGGCGTACTATTGTTGATTATGCCTATCTTAAATGTGATGTTGTACAAATAAATGTATGTATGTATGCCTACTAAACACTTTCGGTAAATATTGTTCATCTTGCTGCAGATTTTTAGTTGTGTGCTAAGAACAAAATGATTAGCTTTGATCAGATTATTAAAATACACGATGACATACGTTTGAAGAGCTTTTACCATTATCACTGATGTGACATTCAGAAGCTATTTAAATCATAGAAACAATATTATTTTCCCAATTCTTCCAGGTGCAAATAAAATTTATTTTTCCCGGTTGTCCAGGTTTTCTTGGTTCACTTGCCACCCTGAACTCACGCTAACTGTGAATTGATAGATCCATAGCAATCCATGCTAGTGTTTAACTTTTTCAAAAGCAAAACGTTTTGACATAATTTAGTTTGACATTTTGTTCTGAAATAAAACAGATTAATCTAGCTATAAAATACGTCTGCTTCTTCGAGCAATGTTATAGGGATGGAAGTCAAAATGTCTCAATCATGCTGGATCCAATTATCCATTCAAAATTTTAAGTGATTATCTTCTTCTTCTAGCGCCAATCACCGACTGACATCGATAGCCATCAATGAATGTGCAAGGAAGGTCGGTTACACACCTACGTTGGATATCGCACCCATCAACACACATGGGCCGGTCTCACCCTAATAAAAATAACCATATAAGAGAGCTTAACGACGTGTTCGGGGTATCATCCAAACCATTTGTGGAATAGTTTACCCATCCGGGATATAGTTCGTTTATGGTACATACTTGTTTACTAGGGCATGCCTCAGAAAAATCCCACCGTACTCGGCTGGGATTGAATCCAGGCACAGGTAAGATAGCAGACACGCTTACTACTACACCACCTGCGCCGGCCAAGTGTATGAGAATAACAACAAAAACAAGCGTTAATGCTTTAACCAACCGCAGTGCGGCGCTCATTGCTTTTGCATTTCGAATGTTTCTAAACAACACGAAGAGCTGTTTAGCCTTTCAGTTTGCGTCTTGGCTGATCATCTGTTTGCTTCCCCTTAAAAGATTGCTCTACATGTTTTCCCCCTGTTTGTTTTCGATTTATTCCCTGTCACATATAGGCAACTGTCAATTTTACGCTTGACGTGTTCTTTTTATACAGTTCCAGCAAGTAGCCCAACGGAGAATGTTGATTCGTTCATTTGTCTCCAACGTTCGCTAGTGTTTCTAGATATTTTTCTGAAATACGTGACGCGTGTCATTTCATCGCTTGCATTTAGTGGTATCCAACCGGTGTGAGATGTCCGACAGAAAGAACGTATTGATTGCTGCTGTTGGCATCTTCGTGTGCTACTTCTACTTCGGAATCATCCAGGAGAAAATCACCCGTGGAAGGTACGGCGATGAACTACAAGAGGATGGCACGCGAGGAGAACAGTTCACGTACGTGTTGGCCCTAGTCGGAGTACAATGCATCTGCAACTGGTCCTTTGCCAAGGGTAGGAAAATAACGAAAGGTGGATCTCTTAAGTTATATTTTAATTGATGTTCGATTAATTTTAGCAATGCTTGTCGTAAAACACCAAAACCAGGATACAACACCTAAGGTGTACTACGCAAGCAGTTCACTAGCCTATCTGCTTGCGATGATCAGCTCGAACATGGCTTTGCGATGGGTGGCCTACCCGATGCAGGTGGTAGCCAAATCTGCCAAACCGATTCCGGTGATGCTTTTAGGTGTACTGCTGGGGAGGAAATCTTACACGTTTCGGAAATATATGTTCGTATTGCTGATTGTCATTGGAGTAGTGTTGTTTATGTTCAAAGAAGGCAAAACGAACAGTAATCCGTTGGAGCAGGAACGTTTGGGACAGCTTTTGTTGATTATGAGCCTGACGATGGATGGATTGATCGGAGCCGTACAAGTGAGTAGTATAAAATGATATACAGTTTAAATAAGTATACACGTGGTAAAAGTCTTTCAAAACATCAAGCGTAAGAACTTCAGGGCATGTAATCAGCGTCATAGTCAGAACTAAGAGCGAAATTACGCCCCTTTTCTAATTGAAAAAAAAATCAAGTGTCAGGTTTCTATACAGAGGAACAATATACCCTCAATATTTCTTTAAGTCTTAAACGCTGTACAGACTGGAGAGTTATAACATGTTATAACGGTTGTCAAATAATTGCAACACAGAAATCACCATCAAGATAGCGCTATTACATGTTATTACTCTGTAGTCTGAACGTACATTTAATCTCATACCAGATTACAATTTTTTTTCTTGTTCTGATTTCTCATCAACAAAAAACATCCAAATACCTATAATATGCCAGAATGCAAAATGGTGTACGGCTTTTTTTAGCCGTCCCAATACTGAGTAGGGTTTCACTAATTTCTCTAAACATAGTACAAACCAAAAAATGAGTAAATAGTACTTAAAACTGAGTAAATCTTACTCAAATCTTAGTCAATTGTATTCACAACTGAATAAATGTTAATCAAAATTAAATATTGTTTGTGAACAACTAGCTTTAACGTAAATAAGCAAAATTCAACTCAATTGGGTGCAATGAGTTTTCTGAGCCCAGTGATATTTGTTCGTTCTCTTATGCGGTGGTGGTAAACTCTATCCTACTGTCTTACCCGACTTATAACAAATATACGTACTATTGGTTTAAAACGTTTAACTACTATACCATTTTATTCGTTTATAACGTATATCTTTTAATACGATGAAAAAAAACAGCTGAAGTGAATGTTTAGATGGGTATTTGACAGCTTCGAACAATGCAAAGAAAACGGAATGGTTCAAGCAGAAACAATGAAGACACGTCAAAAGGTACTAAACGTCGGATTGAACGAATATGTTTTATTTGAGATTGCTATAGCTGCATACTTTCTAGACCTTTCTGAAAGCTTAAGTTGGTGAAAAAAAAACTATTAAATATTACTGCTTTTAAGTATGGTACAACTAGAATCCCTAGTAGTCTGTAGATGTTTTTGATTGTAAATGCACCAATGCTCATAATTGACTAGAATAGAGTTATGGTTCAGATATATGGAGAAAATGGAAGATCCAGAACATCCCTGAAAGAATTTGTTCAACTGGTACCCAATGGCGTTACATGAGCGCCGTGTAATTGCCATTTTAGCTGTTCAAACTAACGGGGTTCTACGGTATAAGAATACATTTCGGGTCATGACATAATCAAAACACTAAATCGTTCTGATTTATTCATTAAAAGTGATGTCTAAAGAAGTCAAGGAGTTCCATAATCAGTTAGGGGAATTTACGTATTCTCGGCAACCTAAGCAGTGACCTTCTTTCTATAGCCTTTTTCTCTAAGGAACGGACACTGCTCTAACAATTTCACTCGAAAGAATTGTCAAAAACTGTTTGAAACGCTTTTACAAAGCTCCAATCTTCTCTAGTGAGAGCGAGTATTGTCGGCAACCAGTTTTTCTTCGGCAACCGTTCCATTTGAACTACATGTAAATCTGCTGTTCTATTATCGGCAACTCGAAATCAGCTACAATTTGTAGTGCGTGTGTTTCATTTCAAGAAAACCTTGCTAGATTGCTTTTTGTCAGTGGTAAAAATATAGTCAAATTGAAGCTGAAAGCATAAAGAATCGTTTGCATGCATTCAGCGAAGTGTTTTCGAAAGAAAATCCAGTGAAAATAGTGTTTCAATTTGGGTTGCCGAAAATAGTCTGGCATGCCGAAGCCGTCATTTCCCCTATATAAATTGAATAATTTCATATATGTTCCGAATCATCATGAGAACCGTCCTGTGGACCTCAGAGTTCAAGTATATTTATTGAACCCAAATTCATTCATACATCTAGATAGAGCTGGAATTAGGGCGTAACAGCTTTTGTAAACAATTATTTCTCTCGAAAGCCAAGGCTCGCCCTCTCAAATCATCGACACCATCGGGTAGAGAAAGACTTCCCCTTCCCGTTGGTTTGGTTGCTTTGCGTGGGCGTGCCTTGAGTTTCGAGAAATCATCGAGAGAAGTCATTGCTTACAAAAGCTGTTACGCCCTAATTCCAGCTATATCAAGACATATATAGAGATGTGTGGAACTGTGGTAGTGAAAATCCGAGGGAAATCCATAACAAACCGCTGTCAATCTCATTATGACTGATCGAATTACATACATTTTGAGGTTAGTCCAAGGAAAATAATAAGCAACTTTACACAGCGATAGACCGTTAGTGTGCGTGCGTTAAACGTCACTAATCTCTATAGGTGAAATGCTCTACAGATTGGACCCTTCGATACTCCTGTTTTTCAATATTTCTTAGAACAATGCGTGATTTAGACAAAATAAATGGATATGTTTGGTAACTAGTATAAAATTTGCAAAAAATGCTTCCTTGGCCCACTTAGTCCGAATTTAGGGACATTAACGCTATCATATATACAAGGTATCTCGAAAAAACTCACGAAGCTTTAAATTCACTTTCATGAATGTTGACCAGATTTAAGCGTGTTCCGGATCTTCCGTTCCGTTGACTCCAGTGTTCATATATAGGAATCATGACTCTATTCTGACTAATTCTGAATATTGGTGCTCAATAATCAATATCATACACACTTAGAAAAAATCATGTAAATTTTGATGCCCTGAGACAAAATACGTCAAAATTTGTCAAAAATGGATTCCGTCACTTGTTAAATTTGTTATTTCTAAGTGTGTGATTTATACAACTCTTTTCGATGTTAAAAAAAGTAAACCACCATATTTTCAACTTATTTACATTGAAAATAATCTACAGACCCTAGGGATTCTAGTGGTACCATAAGTTTTGACATTCGTCAATAAATGGCTATATTATGTCATTGCGAACTTCCCGTTACACGTTTTTCAGAGGCTACGTTACTACGGTAGTCCACGAAAAAAAAAATTACCAACAGTATTTAGAGTGTTAAATTGTGTATTTACCATTTTCCTTAAATTTCGGAACCGTTTAATTATAGTTTTGAGATAGAATTGCCAATTAAGGCAAGCTTAACAAGCATTTATTTATCTCTGGATATCTACAGTCTGCTTCAAGAACTACCATTACAATTTACAGTCGATACAAGTTGCCGTTTGATTTGGTGTAAATATGCTCACTCAATCATTTTTATTCCATTTCCAGGAGCGCATGCGGCAACACAGTTCGCCATCGGCTCAACAAATGATGCTGGCCATGAATGGATGGAGCACGCTATTCCTAGCCGTTCCTCTTCTGGCCACCGGCGAAGCCATGGAGTTCATCGCGTTTGCTACGAAATATCCTCAGATGTTGGGTCACCTGGCTACGCTTGCACTGGCCGGTGCACTGGGCCAGCTGTTCATCTTCATGATGGTATCGTCATACGGTGCACTGGCATGCTCCGTCGTAACCACCACGAGGAAGTTCTTCACCGTACTCTGCTCGGTTGTCCTGTTCGGTAACAGTCTCTCCGGTCGACAGTGGATTGGAACGGTTCTGGTATTCACTGGCCTGTTTGCTGACATGCTTACCAGCAAGAAAGGATCGGCTACTGCTGGAAAAACTCCACCAAAATCAAAAAACAAAAATGAGACTGAAGAGCTTGTGAAGTGAATCTAGCTGCTGGTATTCCATTTCAAGCTCATAACTGTGAAGTTTATCATCGGAACAAATGTACAATAAGTAGGTAACGGATTGAATCCGGTTCTAAATGCAACGCTGTTGCTTATCTGTGTACCCCGTGAAGCTAGGAATTATGTCCTCATTTATTTTAAATAAATGCACAAAAAAATTATTAATAAATCGGAACGTAAAATCATAACTTCATCTTGTTTATGTAGGGGAAATGGATGTAATGTCGGCCTAAATGCCCCTAATTTGGGCCCATACATAAATTCAGCAAACGACTAAATTTTCTATAGCGATCAAACATATCCATTAGTACCGTCCCAATGACGGGTTCATCTAGATAAAATTGATAAATAGCAGATTTTAAGCGATGGACCCAATCTTAGACCCATAAGCCAACATTAGAGCCATTTCCCCTATGTACTGAGTTTCATTTTATAGGGTACTAGCTGAGTGTGCCCGGCATTATACGTAACCCCCTCCCCCCCTCTTATCTAAGGGGCGCTATGACTATGACCTCCACATGCCAAATTTGGTTCCATTTGCATGATTAGTTTTCGAGTTATGCAGTTGTACGGGAGCCCCCCTTTACACAGGGGGGAGGGGTCTCGAACCATCATAAGAACCTTTCCCTACCCCAAAAACCCCTGCATACAAATTTTCACGCCGATCGGTTCAGTAGTTTCCGAGTCTATAAGGGTCAGACAGACAGACAGAAATTCATTTTTATGTATATAGAAGAAGAAGATTGCACCATAGAGGTAACTCTAAGACCAGAAGGTCCCGAAGAAACGTATCAACTTTTTGGCTCAGCTCTGGTACTATCTTCGGTCCCAAGCATCCCAGTGGCAGGCGCGTAGGTAACATGTTATACCGTGACACCGGGCCCAGAACAGCAAAATAAACCGTTTGAGCCCGGGACATGCTGCCTCCTGTCAAACGCTGCTGATGGTATAGGCCTAGTCACTGGCCTGGTCCCAAGCAACATAGGAAACATAGGAAAATCCACGAACCCTTAATTTTATCTGTCAAACTTTCATAGCGAATCAAAACAAACATTGTGTAGTACTAGAATTTTGACTAGAATGGGGCACGTTAATCAATTTGCTTGGGACCAATAGGCTAGTCAAGTAGTGAGCCAATTTAAAATCGTTAGTTTCGTATTGATTGTTGATTGCACGCTATAGATTTCTCTGACGTTTGCTGTGTAAAGTTGTATGTAAATGTACTGCATTGTGTGGCTCCAATTATAAGAACGATCGTATATACACGACTTTCGAACTTATACTTGGAGCCACCAATATGTGGTTATACCATAGAGGTAACTCTAAGACCACTGGGTCCCGAAGAAAATCATTATTATTTTTGGCTCACTCAGTACCAGAACAACGGTCCCAAGCAGTCCCAAGCTATTTCACTCACCCCTGCATGTTCTGCATGAATCCACACACCCCTGATGTTATTTGTCAAACTTTCATAGCGAATCAAAACAAACATAGTGTAGTAATAGAATTTCAACTAGCATAGGGTACGTTAATCGTTTGCTTGGGACCAATAGGCTACTAAAGTGGTGAGCCAATTTAAAATCGTTAGTTTCGTATTGATTGTTGCTGGTACTCTCTTCGGTCCCAAGCTAATCGATTCACCCCTCGAAACATAGGAAAAACCAATAACCCCTCATTTTATCTGTCAAACTTTCATAGTGGATCAAAACGAACATTGCGTAGTACTAGAATTTCGACTAGAATATGATACGTTAATCGTTTGCTTGGGACCAATAGGCTAGTCAAGTAGTGAGCCAATTTAAAATCGTTAGTTTCGTATTGATTGTTGGTTTAAGCTTGTTATAGATACGTAAAAAAAGTAGATTTTAATTCTAGTAATATACTATATTTGTTTTTGCGTCGTAAAAATGAAGTGAGAAATGCTCGCTGCACATCTCGTACTTTAAGTGTAAAAAAATCATTGGCGTTGATTCAAATGTTAAGATTCACCTACTCTTTGCATATCTATAGTAAAATATTATCCAAATCTATCAATTACTTAAAAAAACAAATTTCAACAACTGATTAAAAAGTTATTAACAAATGAGCAGTTAGTGTGTACAACTGTGTATGCCAAGCATGTTTTCATTTATCGGCAGAAATAAGAACTACTTCGGCATAATCGGTCATTTTGAACCTATCGAGCAGAAAACATTACATACATGTGTGATTTTGGCGCAAACTAATTGATTATGTGTTTGGTACGATACTTTAGTTCAAAAGCTATAATATAGACTTAAAGACGTTAGGACGGAATTGAAACTCATTGGGCGAATTTGAAATCGAGAAGCAGTGCTAGATTTTTAACAATATCTCAACAATCTGTGACTCTTTAGCAATTTTGACGAGACGTTGTGGAAAGGTAAATAAATTTAGTATTTTGTGAAACAATCCACTCGGTGAGGGTTGTACTTAGTAGGCCCACAATTTGATCTAAACCCTGGTAGTTTTAGCTATGTGTATTCGTAAAAACCTTAATAAGTCGGACATTGCAGCGTGCCATATTTACCTTATATTAAATGGGGAATGCTCCTTTTTCTTTTCTTTTTTTGTTTAAATGATCTGTATTTCAACCATCTAAGAAATTGGTAAAATCTAAATATAATACTACTCGAAATATTTAGCTGCGATCGAAACACGAATAGTAGTAGGAAAACTACTGGGAGAGCCGTCTTTATCGCAGTTAATTCCAAGCTGAAAGCAAAAGTTATCGAGGACAATTCCTGGAACACGGTTGAACAAGTGTGGGTGGCTATTCAACTTGGTGATCGTCAATTGCTTCTCTGTGCAGTGTATATCCCACCAGATCGAATGCGTGACTTGGAGCTTATTGACGCACATTGTCGATCCGTCTTGGTCGCTTCAGACAAAGCAGGCCCTTCCGACGAAGTTATTGTTCTTGGCGATTTTAACTTACCAGACATTGCATGGACTCCAACCTATAGCGGTTTCTTTTGTCCTGATCACGAGCGTTCATCTTTCCACGTAGGAACCAACCTGGACAGTTATAGCACAAAAGAAGTGACAGACGACTAACTGGCGAAGAAATCCATTAAAATAATGTGGTTCACTGTAATAGAATTTTCTTGGAAGCTTGTGCCATCATCCACCAGATGGGTTAGTTTTTTTTTGTTTTGATTTGAACAAAGTTGATTTTGTGTATAATGATTCTTTGACAGTGTGCATCACAAACGAAGTGACAGACGGAGCGGCTCGAAAACTTTGGTGACTAACCTGCTATTGCAATTTTTCAGTGTACCACATGGCAACACCACTACTGGATTGAACTAGCATTTTCACCAAATGTACTGGAATGTTTTGGTTCTATCTCTTTCACTCTACTCAAAACTGAAATGCATAAAAAAATGACAAAATGATACGCACTCTTTGCACACTGTCAAAGAATCATTGTACACAAAATCAAGTTTGTTCAAATCAAAACAAAAAACTAACCCATCTGGTGGATGATGGCATAAGCTTCCAAGAAAATTCTATTACAGTGAACCACATTATTTAAATGGATTTCTTCGCCAGTTAGTCGTCTGTCACTTCGTTTGTGGTGTGCATTATGCATTTCAGTTTTGAGTAGAGTGAAAGAGATAGAACCAAAACATTCTAGTTCAATTGGTGAAAATGCTAGTTCAATCCAGAAGTAGTGTTGCCATGTGGTACAGTCCAGTAGTAGTGGTGTTGCCATGTGGTACACTGAAAAATTGCAATAGCAGGTTAGTCACCAAAGTTTTCGAGCCGCTCCGTCTGTCACTTCGTTTGTGGTTATAGCAACAATCAATACGAAACTAACGATTTTAAATTGGCTCACCACTTTAGTAGCCTATTGGTCCCAAGCAAACGATTAAAGTACCCTATTCTAGTTGAAATTCTATTACTACACTATGTTTGTTTTGATTCGCTATGAAAGTTTGACAAATAACATCAGGGGTGTGTGGATTCATGCAGAACATGCAGGGGTGAGTGAAATAGCTTGGGACTGCTTGGGACCGTTGTTCTGGTACTGAGTGAGCCAAAAATAATAATGATTTTCTTCGGGACCCAGTGGTCTTAGAGTTACCTCTATGGTTATAGTACCGCAATTCTATCACAAATCTCTGCTTTGTGAGTGCTGGTGATACAGCTCCTTTCCTCTCCACGGCACCCGAACCTTTAGTCAAGAAAGTGCATCATCACCCTGCTTTAGTTATCGTGATCGAAAATAATATTGTCCATGATTTCACCAGCGCTCCAAACGCTGTGTTATATGACTTCCGTAGTGCTGACCATCGCAGTATTGTCCATGTGCTGTATAACCTAGATTGGGAGCATATTCTAGATCCTGTAGACGTCAAAATTGCTGCACAAACCTTTTCTCACGTCTTGGCATATGTCATTGACAAACACTTTTCCAAAAAGATCATCCATATCGACTCTCGCGTCCCGTGGATGACGAAAGATCTTCGCTCGTTGAAAAGAACTAAGAAGGCTGCTCTCAGAAGATTTACTTAGTTCCACACACTGCCGCTGAAATGCTTCTATGTCAGACTCAACCACTAGTATAAGCGGTTAAGTTGTTGGTTAAGTCGTCTCTGTTTTCAACGCTATCAAAGGAGGATTCAACGGCGGCTAAAATCACACCCGAAATCCTTCTGGAACTTTGTAAATAAGCAACGCAGGGAAGTCGGCTTACCCTCTTCCATGATTTTTAATGGTGAAACTGCTGGCAATCAACAAGACATTTGCAACCTGTTCTCAGCTAAATTTGCTAGTGTTTTTGAAGACGAGCAACTATTCGCTAATCTCATTACTTCCGTGGCCAGTAATGTTCCTTTGGTCAACCAAACGCTCAGCATGGTCGATGTTGTAATATTATTACGTACTTTGTGAGTGATACTTGGTTCGTAGTTTGTGAATGTTCCCAACCTTCCTTTCCCTCTCTTGGTCATAGCTCAGTGTGGTTTGAGACTTTGTATCGTACGGACTCAATTAATAAAGCTCGAGTGAATAAGCTAAACCGGTTTTTTTGTTCGTACTAAAACATGGTGTCAGAAGTAAAAGTCTTCTAAAGTGTTTCCGGCGTCATTAAATCGCGGAAGAGACTATTGCGAGGAGAAGCACAGATTCGGAGAGTGAAAAAATCATTTGCCACGGTGAGAATTGCCAGCTGTTTGCGTCGGCGGTTTTCGAGAGCAAGCGTGTCGGGTCCTGTTCGGCGGCCATATTTTTTTCGCTTCATGCTGAGTGTAGTGTGTTTTCCCGAAATTTGTGATAAACTGGATGCAAAATGAATGACGATCAGTTTTCGCGTTTCATGCAACAGCAGAATAATGTGTTGCGCGAAATCGTGAACTCGTTGCAGAATGTGCAAGTGCAGCAACCACAACAAGTACAAGGGCAGCCTCAGTTGCAAATGGCTGCCAGTTCGACAGCATCGTCTGTCCCGCTCCCTCCACCGCTCGAACTAAGTGGAGACATGGAGGAGAATTTTGATTTTTTTTTTCTACTAACTGGAAAAACTACGCGAGTGCTATTGGAATGGATGAGTGGCCACAGGAGCAGAACAAGCAGAAAACCAGTATTTTGTTGTCAGTGATCGGTAGTGCTGCGCTTAAAAAATTCTTCAATTTTGGGTTGTCGGAAGAACAACGGCGTACCCCAGAAGCAGCTCTGGAGGCGATAAAAGTGAAAGTAGTGCGCGAAAGAAACAAAATCGTAGACTGGTTCGATTTTTTCTCGCTCGTGCAACAACCTGTGGAAATGATTGATGACTATGCGGCGCGATTGAAAAGCTTGGCCAAGTTGTGCAAATTCGGTGTGCTGGAGGATGACTTGATTACCTATAAGATTGTTACCTCTAACAAGTGGCCCAAACTGCGTGCTAAAATGTTGACGATGCAAAACCTAACGGAAGTGAAAGTTATTGACTTGTGCCGAGCGGAAGAAATCGCTGAAAAACATGCTGCTGCGATGGGTGCCAGTAGTGTTGACGTGAATTTCGTACGGAAGCAGAAGAATATGAAGTGCAAGTACTGTGGAGATCGGCACGAATTCGCGAAAGGAGTATGCCCAGCACAAACGAAGTGACAGACGGAGCGGCTCGAAAACTTTGGTGACTAACCTGCTATTTCAATTTTTCAGTGTACCACATGGCAGCACCACTACTACTGGATTGTACCACATGGCAACTCTACTACTGGATTATACTAGCATTTTGACCAAATGTATTAGAATGTTTTGGTTCTATCTCTTTCACACTACTCAAGAATAAAATGCATAAAAAAATGACAAAATGATACACTCTTTGCACACTGTCAAAGAATCATTGTACACAAAATCAACTTTGTTCAAATCAAAACAAAAAAACTAACCCATCTGGTGGATGATGGCACAAGCTTCCAAGAAAATTCTATTACAGTGAACCACATTATTTTAATGGATTTCTTCGCCAGTTAGTCGTCTGTCACTTCGTTTGTGATGCCCAGCATTGGGCAAGAAGTGTAACGTGTGTGGTGGTAAAAACCATTTCGGAAAAGTTTGCAAATCGGATCGCAAGCAAAAAGGCAGAAGCGAAGGTAGAAGCCGAAGAAGAGTGAAGAAAGTGCAAGAAGACTATAGCGACATTGAAGAAAGCGGCAGTGCGACCAGTGATAATGAAGAATTGGAAAGCAGTAGTGATGAGGCTGTTATCGGCAAGGTGTATGATTTTTCGGAGTCGGGAGGAAACGTGATGGCTGATTTGGAGCTATTTGTTGGTGGAAAATGGCAGATGGTGCAATGTGAGCTGGACACGGGCGCTAACACTAGTCTGGTTGGTTACGACTGGATTAAGCAAGCAACCGGTTGTGATCGTTTGGAGCTGCTTCCTTCGAAATATCGTTTGCAGAGTTTCGGAGGCGGCACCATACCTGTCCTTGGTGAGATAAGGTTGCCATGTAAGAGAACAGACCGTAAGTACACACTCGTATTACAAGTCGTGGAGGTTAGCCATAAACCGCTTCTATCTGCAAAAGTTTGCAAAACTCTTGGCTTCATCAAGTTTTGCAACTCGGTTTCGATTGCTTCATCACCATCGGAAGAACAGCTGCTAAATATTTACCGTATCAAGGCTCAGCAAATTATCAATCAACATAGCGGTATATTTGAGGGCTACGGTAGATTTCCTGGTGTGGTCTCGCTGGAACTGGATCCTAAAGTATCTCCATCAATTCAGCAGCCACGTCGTGTACCAATTGCGATGCGAGACAAGCTGAAGAAGGAGTTGAAGAAGTTGGAGAAGGACGGACTAATTGTGAAAGAGCAGCAGCATACGGAATGGGTTAGCAATATAGTTCTCGTGAAGCGAGGTGGTAAGGATTCAGACTCAATCAGGATCTGTTTGGATCCAATACCCCTAAACAAGGCGCTGAAACGGCCAAATCTGCAGTTTACAACGATCGATGAGATATTACCAGAGCTGGGAAAAGCCACAGTGTTCTCTACAGTTGATGCCAAAAAGGGCTTTTGGCATGTGGTTCTGGATCAACCAAGCAGTCGACTAACAACGTTTTGGACTCCCTTCGGAAGATATCGCTGGATTCGTTTGCCCTTCGGCATTGCTCCTGCACCGGAAATCTTCCAGATGAAGCTTCAAGAGGTGATTCAGGACCTGGAAGGAGTTGAATGCATTGCGGATGATGTGTTGATCTACGGAGTTGGAGATACCCTGCAAGATGCTCTTTTGAACCACAATAGATGTCTTGCAAAACTGCTAACTCGCCTTGAAGAAAATAATGTGAAGTTGAATAAAACTAAGCTGAAGTTGTGCTTGACTTCGGTAAAGTTTTATGGGCATGTACTGACGACCCGAGGATTGCAGCCCGACGAAAGCAAGATCGAAACCATCAAGAACTATCCTAAGCCGGAAGATCGGAAACAACTACAACGGGGTTTGCATGGTTCAAAGGGTTGGACTTGAGTCGAGACTTCATACGCGTGATGTCTCGTCTCATGTCCAATCACTATTGTCTAAACGCTCACTTGTTCCGTGTGGGGTTGGGAGACAGCAATCTCTGTGAATGTGGACAAGGTTACCAGGACGCTGATCACATCCTTTGGTCTTGTGCGGAGTATCGTGGAGTCAGATCACATTTTTATGATTCCCTTCGGGCTCGAGGTAGACAACCTAATGTTCCAGTTCGGGATATTTTGGCTAGACGCGATCTGGAGTTTATGAAACTCATATATGTTTACTTTAAGGATATTAACCTTAGATTGTAAGTTTTATTAACCTTGTGTTTAGTTTGTATTTTGTACGTGTGGGTTTTTTTTCAATGTTTGTTTTCAAGATGAATAGAAATAATTTCATGCTTTAGGATTAATTAAATAGTTGTATCGTAAACCACATTTCAAACCTCCTTCTTCCCTTTTCCCATCCAAAAAATTGTAAATCTCCACTAACCTCGAGACAACCGCGAGTACTCGGTCCAGTTCCTTTAACTTTAAATTTAAGACAGCAATAATGTATAATGCAAAGGATAACTCGGCTCTGTAAAGTTTATTCGATTGAGCCTGTACAAATAAAGTAATTATAAAAAAAAAAAAACTACAACGGTTCATAGGGATGGTTAACTACCTGAGTCGCTTTATTCCAAACTTAAGCTCCAATATTGCGGTTTTGAGACGGTTGATTGCAGTCAAGGAACCTTGGATCTGGGAAGAGAAAGAAGAAGAGGAGTTCAACCGTGTCAAGTCTTTGGTTGCTGAAACTCGATCTTTGCAGTACTATGGCGTCAACCAACCCTTGATAATCGAATGTGATGCAAGCTCCTTTGGTTTAGGCACTGCTGTGTTCCAGTCTAATGGAGTGATCGGCTACGCATCTCGTACTCTCACGGCTACAGAGAAGAATTATGCACAAATAGAAAAGGAGTTGCTAGCCATTCTATTTTCATGTGTACGATTTAATCAGCTAATCGTGGGTAATCCGAGGACGATTGTGAGAACTGATCACAAGCCGTTGGTGAACGTGTTCAGGAAGCCTCTGTTGTCTGCGCCGAAACGACTGCAGCATATGCTGTTGAGTCTGCAACGGTATAACTTGGAGATACAGTTTGTCAAAGGCAAGGAAAATGTTGTAGCCGACGCCATTTCCCGGGCTCCATTGGATGCAGGACAACCTGAAGATCGATTCAACAAGCGGAACATCTATCACGTGTTCAGACAGTTGGAGGAAATAAACCCAAGCAACTTCCTCAATATCACCGATGAGCGTTTGACGGAAGTTATGCTAGAGACGGAAAAAGATCCTTCAATGCAACAGATCATCAGCTATATCCGTGAAGGCTGGCCTGTGTCAATAGATAAAGTGCCGGATGGAGTGAAAATTTTCTACAAACATCGAAATGAGCTCAGCTTCCTGGATGGGCTTGTATTCAGAAATGACCGTATTGTCATTCCATACCTGCTACGACGTAAAATGACCGACAAAGTACATGTTAGCCACAACGGAGTTGAAGGAACGTTGAAGCTGGCTCGGGCTAATGTGTTCTGGCCTGGCATGAGCACCCAGATTAAAGAAGCTGTCACTAATTGTGGAATTTGCGCAAAATACTGTTCATCCCAGCCAGCTCCACCTATGCAAAGTCATGCAATTCCTGTATACCCATTCCAACTCGTGTCCATGGATGTATTCTTCGCGGAATATCAAGGAGAAAAGAAAAAAATCCTCGTTACTGTCGACCACTACTCCGATTTTTTTGAGGTTGACATGCTGAAGGATCTGACTCCAAGAAGCACCATTTCAATCTGCAGGAAGAATTTCTCTCGTCACGGCAAACCCCAGTTGGTTATTACGGACAACGGAACCAATTTTACGAACAAGGAATGGAGAAAGTTCGCGTAAGAATGGGAGTTTCAGCATTCGACATCGGCTCCTCACCACCAGCAGGCCAACGGGAAGTCGGAGGCAGCTGTAAAAATTGCAAAGCGACTGTTGAAGAAGTCAGAAGAATCTGGTGTTGATTTTTGGTATGCTCTTTTGCACTGGCGGAATATACCAAATAAAATTGGATCCAGCCCAGCTGCTCGTCTATTTTCACGGAATACGCGATGTGGACTTCCAACGTCTGTGGAAAATTTGATGCCGAAACCAGTTCAAGGTGTACCCAAGAGTATCGAGGAAAACCGACGAAAGACGAAGTATCACTATGACAAAACGACAAGAAACCTACCAATGCTTGAAACAGGATCACCAGTGTACGTGCAGTTGCATCCAGAATCAACGAAACAGTGGACTCCTGGTACGGTTGCTAATAAGATGAATGAGCGTTCGTACATGGTGAACGTAGATGGAGCGCTTTATCGACGTGATTTGGTTAACTTGAAGCCGCGCAAAGAACCTGTTGCGCCTGTTATTCCCCCTTCGCCTGCTCTAAATAAATCAGGCAATTCTGAGGATGTCCCAGCGATAAGTGTTACGGAGAACCCTTCGTTGTTGGTACCTGACAAAAGTGTTACGATTCAATCTCCATCAAAATCGGATGAATCCTCAGTCGGAATGGATACCGTGAAGACTCCGATACGGATTACAACACCTAGACGAGAATGTCAAGCATCAGGATCGATGAAAAAAATCAAAGACCGAATAGAGAAATACGTTTGCCTACTAAATTCAAAGACTATGACCTTCATTAACTTTTTATTATAAAACAGGGAAGATGTTGTAATATTATTACGTACTTTGTGAGTGATACTTGGTTCGTAGTTTGTGAATATTCCTTTCCCTCTCTTGGTCATAGCTCAGTGTGGTTTGAGACTTTGTATCGTACGGACTCAATTAATAAAGCTCGAGTGAATAAGCTAAACCGGTGTTTTTGTTCGTACTAAAACAGTCGAAGCCACTACAGATACGATTTCTAGAGCAGACTTCAACTAAAGCTGGACCTGATGGTGTTCCGTCGATTATTCTTAAAAAGAACATCACTTGTCTTTTAGATCCACTGCGCCGCATATTCCAGCTCTCTCTTTCCAGCGGCATCTTTCCGTCTTGGTGGAAGACTGCGGATATGTTTCCTGTTCATAAAAAGGGAAGCAAACGTGACGTAAACAACTACCGGGGAATCACGTCGCTGAGTGCAGTATCAAAACTTTTTGAATTGGTTGTCATAGAGTCCCTAAATGCGCATTGCATGCAATATATAAGTATAGATCAACACGGATTCATAACTGGGCGTTCCACAACAACGAACATGCTGTGCCTAACGTCTTACTTCACAGACAGTTTGATTGCACGGACCCAAACGGACGTTATCTACACAGATCTTACGGCAGCATTCGATAAGCTGAACCACGAAATTGCGATCGCTAAGCTTGATAGGCTAGGGATCTGTGGAAATCTTTTGAGATGGTTTCGTTCATACCTCACGGATAGTAACTTTGAGTACTTGTCGCTCAGCAAGCTTCTGCGCAAAGTCCGGTATACCTCAGAGTAGCCATCTGGGGCCATTGGTATTTCTCCTTTACTTCGACGACGTTCACCATGTTATCACAGGGCGACGATTATCGTTTGCAGACGATCTGAAAGTTTTTCTGAGCATCCGCTCACTCGCCAACTGCCGTTCTCTCCAAAATCAGATTGACATCTTTGCTGACTGATGTAGTCTAAACCGACTGGTGATCAACCCAGCTAAGTGTACACCCAACTAACAATTTTCACAATGTAAACGCTTTACTCATTTCATTTATACAGCCTCAAGCTGTATTCAAACATTATACGATATGAGGAAACCTTTACTCAACTTCTATACAAGCAAATCTGGCGAACTTAGTCAGCTACTTATGGCTGTTGGAACGGTCGGGAGAAGCTCTTATTGCATATCCATTAACGCTTCTATACACCTGTTATCCTGCTGTTTAGTTGTGTGTGAACTTGAAAGGCGCTTATTCAACCTTTTCTCGGTTATCCAATAATCACTAAACAGCTTTCTCTTGAAGCCGGGTTAAATACTGTTTACGCTTTTTTATGAAGGAATTTATTGAGTTTATTTTGCTGTGAATCAAATTAATCGAAATTAGTTACAAATCATCACCAAATTATTTACCCTGCACCGGAACCTGGAATCGAACTCGAGAGGACCTCATTGGCAAACCTTGACACTACCAAATGTGCTACGCCAACACTTTGAACTTATGTAAACAAATCAACATTCCCTTCTACAACAAAATCGCTGAATAGAGGCTTTATAATTGTGCACATGAATCACTTTTCTCGACTAGTTATAAAAGAGTAGAGTAAAAGCTGTAAAACTGCACACGTCTAAAAATAAACCTAGTTGACTGTGACAATGCTTCCGAAGTTACTCTAACACAGTTTATAAGCTGAGTACAGGTTGTTTAGTTGTTGAAAAAGCACTTTTGATGTTTATGTTATTCAGCAAGAGTGATTGGTTGTTTAGAAGCCATCAAATGAGTAATATATTCACTTTGTTAGCTTTGTTTTGCAGCTACAAGTTGAAAATTGATTAGTGTGTGTATAGAAGTGACATTAGCGTTTATTGGCTGATGTTATTCAGTGCGACTGACAAATTGAATAATGGTTGTGAGAAAGTTGAGTAAACGCTCTCCAAAACTATTTTGCTAGCTTTTGCTTGCAGCTGTATCTGCAGCTTCTTTTTAGCTACTTTACAGCACAACGCTGGAAAAGTTGGCTTACAAAGCTGAAAATGTTAGTTGGGCAGTTATTACTTTCTCACGCAAGAAACAACCGATTATTTTCAACTACAAACTACTAGGTACGACCATAGAGGTAACTCTAAGACTAGAAGGTCCCGAAATATCGTGCTCAACTTTTTGGCTCAGCTATGGTACTCTCTTCGGTCCCAAGCTAATCGATTCACCCCTCGAAACATAGGAAAAACCAATAACCCCTCATTTTATCTGTCAAACTTTCATAGCGAATCAAAACAAACAGTCCGTAGT